CATTGGCCCAATGTCCTTCAAAATCTGTTCAAGTGTATGCCTGCTGTAAATATTGCATATTTATAAGAATATTTTAAAATAATTTATTGTATTGTCAAAATATATATATGTTTTATATGTTACGTTGTTAAATGGGTTTCTTACTGAAATGTTATATTTTTAATAGCCTTACCAGAGGTGATGGTTAACTAATTATTCTTAAAGATATCTTTTTATTGTGCAATGTAATTTAGATGTTATGCTTTTAGAACTTATAACTAAAGTTTTATTTCATTGTGAAGATTTTGGTACATGCTTCAAATAATATAGTACTTATCTTCTCTGTTGAATTGAATTTTAGACAAAATAGCGTGTTTATGTAATTTGTTCACTAGTGTAAAATAAGATTTTTTTTCTAATAAAACAGATATGTACCTTACAGTACTTTAATTGCCAAAATATAAAATCATCTTGCCACAATATATGAGCCGCACACATGGTGTCACTGGCATTGATAAAGTGCAAGAAGGTTCAGAGATCTCTAGCTACAGATACAACAATTGCAGATCCTAACTTAGCAGCAGATATACAGACGGAACGTTCTACATTAGCAGCCTATGAGAGTAAAAGTGGACCAAGCCCAATTTTTTTCAAATGACCCTTATGTGTGTAAAACTGCTAAAAATTTGCTATATTTTTAGAGCAAAAATGGACCAAGTCCATAACACATTTATTTCTTATTCAACAGAGGGCAGCACATTTTTACTCTAACAATAAATCACCAGGTATAGAGAGTAATAGTGGACCAAGTCCATTGATAGTGCATTAATGTAAGAAATCAAGATTCAAGACCACATAAACTACAAATTTTTTTAGAATTATTATTATTAAATTAAAACAAGAATAACATTTGTACAGGTAAGATGCTTTAAATGAATATCTGATTATGGTTTTATATTAATATAGTGAAGTATACAGCACTTTCACACTTTATAAAGTGACAAAACTGAAATAGTTTGGTGAGCGATAATATAAGATTTATTCAATTGCTCTCAGCAGGAATATAAATATTGATTTGTTAGACAGTAGATATAATGGTCTGTCACTACCAAAGTTACAGCCTCTTTAGAAAGGTCAATTTTGTGGCTTTAATAATATCTAGCTAGGGGAGCACTTGCATGCATGTTGTGTACATGTACATTTTTCTTTCTAATAATATTCTGAATGTATGTAATACTTAAAAAATATTTATTGTAGAATAGTGTAAACATGCATTCACGAGCCGCACACATGGTGTCACTGGCATTGATAAAGTGCAAGAAGGTTCAGAGATCTCTAGCTACAGATACAACAATTACAGATCCTAACTTAGCAGCAGATATACAGACGGAACGTTCTACATTAGCAGCTGAATCTCCGATTGTAGCCGATAATTCACCGGTTGTAGCAGTTGAATCTCCGATTGTAACAACTGAATCTCCGATTGTAACAACTGAATCTCCGATTGTAATCGATCAACGCCCTCGAAAACGAAAACGTTGTGTAACGAACTGGAAGAAAAATGTGATTAAGCGCTTACGAAATACAGGTAGCGAATATGTAAAGCATAGCGGAACGTTACAAAAAGCTAAGAAATTAAACGAACATTATTTAATAAATCACAGTTGCAAAAACAAATGTGCTGAAAATTTGACTTTAGAGCAGACTAAAACTCTGTTTGAAAATTTCTGGAAATTGGGAGATTTTGATGCACAAAATCTGTTTCTTGCTGGCTGGGTGAAACAATCAACAGTAGAACGTAGACGACCAAGAGTAAGAAAAAACAAAATTACGAAAAATGAAAAAAAACATGCAAAGGATTTTGCACGAGTATACTCTGCGTTTGCAGATAATAAGCCCGTTACTGTTTGCAAACCATATTTCTTGACGATATTTGACATTAGCAGCGGTCGACTAAATCGTGCGTTAGTCAACCAACGGGAGAATGGTGGTGTGTCAGGCAAAGATGGACGAGGAAAATATGATCACAAGACACAACGCATTCATGAGGAACACATCACTCGCATTAAAGATCATATTCGCATGTTTTCCACATACGAAAGTCACTATACTAGAAGTCACAGTGCATCTCGGCGCTTTCTACCTGCTCATTTGACGGTATTCACTATGTACGATATGTATAGAGAAAAATGTATACAGGATTCAGTCGAACCCCAAAAAGAGTGGAAATTTCGGGACATTTTTAATCATGAATTTAACTTGACGTTCCATCAGCCACTAAAAGATACGTGCAAGAAATGTGACATATTTAAAACAAACATTGAAATAGAAAAAACTGAACACAAAAAATCTCAACTAAAAGCAGCGCATGAGATTCATTTGCGCAAAGCAGAGAAGGCGCGTCAATCCTTAAAACTAGAAAAGGAAAATGAAGACAATAAACATGCATCTTTTTGTTTTGACCTGCAAAAGGTCATGTCATTGCCTTGCCTTACAACCAATGAAGTTTATTATTGCCGGCAATTATCAGTGTATAATCTAGGCATTCATGACCTTAAAAATGACAATGCAGTGATGAATGTATGGCATGAGGGAACAGCCTCACGAGATGCAGGTGAGATCGGTTCATGCTTATTGGCATATTGTCAAAATCTGGCAAATAGGGATATTATGTCTATTACAGCATTCAGCGACTCGTGCGGCGGCCAAAATCGAAATATAAAAATTGCACTGTTATGGATGCATTTGACGCAGACGACGAGTATTGAACTGGTGAATCATAAGTTTATGGTCTCTGGGCATTCTTATTTGCCTAACGATGCAGTTTTTGGAATAATTGAGAGAGCAAAACCAAAATCCACAGAGATCTTCGTGCCAGAACATTGGTGTAAATTGATCGAGAGCTGCTCTATGAAGAAGCGCTTCAGTGTTGCAAGATTAAGCACTGATAATTTCAAGAGTGTGGAGCCCTTATTGAAATTAATTACAAATCGGAAAGTGGATGAGAGTGATCAGAAGGTCAACTGGCTGGATATGCAATGGCTGCAATTTAGAAAGAACGAGCCATACAAACTGTTCTTTAAATACTCTTTAGATGATAACGCATCATTCAGTTTCATTTCGCTAGCGAAACGCGGACGTCAAACGAATTTTAGTGAAGTGAGTTTGGCTCCACTGTACTGTCAAGCAACAAAACTGAGTAAAGAAAAATACTCAGATCTAATGAAACTGTTAAAGTTCCTCCCATCCATGACTTCTATCAAAAGTTGGAACACAGCGGTCACAACAAGGATGTACTAAAAGATGAACTGCTCGATGACAGCGGCGATGATGATCAGTAAATTCGTGTGGTTTTTATTGTACTGTTTGTAATAATGAGGACTATTTTTGCCGATAATTAGTAAATAGTAATTGTGTTTTTTTACAACATAGTATGAATTTGTACTACTTGTCTTAATTTGAATTGCTATTGTAAACGAATAAAATGAAATTTGTTCATGATTTTACACTAAAATGATTTAGCGATTTGTTGATTATGTTTAGAGAAAAAATGGACCAAGTCCATAACTATTATTATATTATTAATAATTATTCAAAAATTTATTTGTGCATTTCACATATCTTGTTGTCTAAGAAAAAAGATTTAAAATAATACTAGACATCAATAATATTACATATGGCTGATTTATAATATATGCAAACACTAAGAAGCTTATTTCTAACAATATAGAAATATGGACTTGGTCCACTTTTACTCTTATGGGCTCATATATAAAAAATACTAGTTTGTATTATATTTTTTAACAGAAAATGGAGATAGAACAAAATAACACTGTATTTTATAAAATCTCCAAATCAGGATGTAGTAATTCAGACACCTGCACTTTAAATATTTTAATACAATTTCGTTAAAACTGTGGTAGTCTGTTTAGGAAATTAATCCAAATTGGATTTGTTTGAGTTTTTTTATGTTACTTGGTATGTAAGGTCCAATTAAAACTTTGAACTTAATTTTCTCGGTTCGGCAAAACATGGAAATAATTCTAACCTCGCGATATGTTAGAGATGTATTAACATTTTGTACTTTTAAGGCTCCTTGTTTCCAACAGTAAAAATGAGAACAATTTTAGGCAAGTAATATATCTGTGTGTAAAAGGTAGACGAGTCATGAAATACCACTTTACAGCAGAAGCAATATAAAATTGCTGCTGTTACAACATTTTTGAAAAGTACGATTTCAAGCCTTGTATAATGAATCGAGTGCCTATTTTTTGAAGGGATATTTAAAATTTAAACTTCTTTCTTTGATCTTAATATTATTATTCGAATGCCTCATTTTCGAGATTTTTTGACTCATCTTCCTTTTACACACACAGATCTAAACTTTAAAAACGTTTAACAGCCTTAAAAAATTTTGACATTTTAAAAAATCAAAAAATTTTTTTACTAACCAGAAATGCATGTTTGAAAAGATTGGAATTCACATTACTTAACGCAAAGCAAATAATACATTTCAAAATTTTACATAAGCTTGTAAGAAATCCGATAATAAAAAAATGATAATAAAATTTTAATTTCATACATTTGATTTTAAATAAACACAATTTGCTTACCCGATTACTATCTCGTTTTATTTATTGTTTATTTTTTATTTAGATTTTAATTTCGAGTTTTTTGTGTCAAAAACTAGAACAGCGTTCTTTTTGAATCCAGAACTTTGCGCGCTAGCGTGTTGGGCTGTGTAAGTAGGCCGTAGTCAGCCTATATACACAGTCTAAAAAATATTACAGGATCATATTTAGAGCCAGGGGTACCTAAATAAGAAAAAAAATATTTTTAACATATCGCGGTTTCAATTTAAATTTTTCTTTTATGTTAAAACTACACCCCAAATTATTTTCCAAATTAACAAATCAGTAATGATTATGAATAAGAAAATATAGTTTTAAACAAGATTTTTTTAAAATGCTGCAAAAAAGAATGTACTACGTCAGCAAAATTAAAAAAAAAAATTCCAGGCATAAAAACAATTTAAGTAAGTTCAATTTATTTCTTGCGAAACATTGAAAATGGATGGGAAACGATCAGCTCCGATTATCTCACACGAGATCTCCACGTTAATCGATGAATAAGGAATCCATGATGATATTGAACATTGTAAAAACAATTATATGTTATCAATCTAAAATAATAAACAAACGTATTTAAATAGAATCTTAAAGCTTAGAAAGTAACTTTGAAATGTGTATGTTCAGATACACGTTAAGTTTATTTGGACACAAAATATATATAGATATAGATATTCTAAATAACTTTAAAACAAAACAAAAAAATAGATAATTGCATCAACTTGTTAGCTGAATAAAACACAGAACACTAGATACAAAAAACTACAGAATACCAAGATAAGAATAAATAAGAGCCACTATATATAAATATATAAATAAACTTACATCATCTGGTTCATCATCATCTTCATCACTTCCATCTTGGAATTCAAATTCGATATCCCCATTTGCATCTTCATTAGAAACCATTGTTTCAATCTTGACTAAAAAATAAAATGATGCGGATTTAACATATATCATAAAGTTTAAACATTAAAATAAAAAATAAAAACTTTATTTAAACTTAATAAATACCTGAGTCAGGTAATTCCCCATATGATTTTAGGTTTCTGGCCTCGTCTGGAGTATATTTTAAAATTACATCTGCTTTTGTGTCCTAAATAAATAAAAATTTAACAAAGTTTGTAACTGCAAAACTGGAAGACAATTTTATAATTTTTCCTAATTTATTTTTTGATAAGTTTTGATAATCTTCAGAGATTATCCTGGTCATATTTTTAAAATGCAGAAAATTTTTTTAAGAATTATTCAATAAAAAAGCATTTTTGTAACTAAGAATATCTAATGGGTTTGAAAAAACTATAAGTTATCATACTTGCAAGCTATGTAATACATAACTATGAATAACCTGCTGCATAACCAGCTCATTTGGTATTTGCACCAGGTAAATTTTCAATATCATTTCGTTGACTTGTCATTTAAACGATATTGTTAAATGGTATAAAATGGTGAAAGCAACTTGTTCTTGGCAAAGTTTTTTGCCACCAATGCCATCACAAGCAGACTTAGGGATTGTCCATAAATTATGCAATGCTAAATTTATTTAAAAACAGAAGTAGGAGATCTTAAGCTCTTTTACGCTGTGATTTTTAGTAAACTTAATGCACTAATTTAATTTTTCATTTAACTAAAGGCTCTGCAAGAGAAAAAACTATGATCTTATATGTTTTGCTATTAGTAAAATTAAGCGTTGCATAATTTATAGACAATCCCTTACCATGGCAACTGTTTTTTTTTGCTTGTAGCAAAAAAAACATTTAGCATCAATATCTAAGCCTTCTTTGGGATGACAAAGTAAAAGTTTTTATAGTTTTATATTGAAATAAATTTGATCATGAAATTTTATAAAATCAATGTTATTCAGAGATAACATTCACATTAATTTATGAAAAATTACTGAGACACTTTATTTGTATGTATTTGTCATAGTATATGACTTCCTTTTATACAGGATTGAAACGTAATTAAATTTAATTTTATTTAGCAATCATATATTAATCATATAACATTCATTAATTATTAGAGTAAATATATAACAGCAAAAATATTGTAAAAATTTATAAACTCATAGAGCAAAAATATTGTGAAAATTTTTAACGAAATAAACTTTCTTATATTGATATAACAAAGTCAGGAAAATATTATTAAACTTCATAAATTTCCTATGCTAGTAAAATCATAGTTATAAGAAATAAAACTTTAAAAACCACCCATCAATAACCCTTTTTTCTCTTCCCCTCCTATAGCCATCAATAACCTATCATATACACATCATATACCCATCAATAACCCTTTTCTCTTTTCCCCTCCTCAACCTTAGCCTAAAGAAAAAATTATTTCTTCAAGAAAAATCACTTTTTTATGGGTTAAAGTATTTTTTGTTGATTTTGTGGGAATTTTTAAAAATGCCCATTTTTGCGGTCACTTAATCGCAAAAGGCAAATTAAGTGATTGCAAAAGGCGAATTAGGTGATCGCAAATTGCGATATCTGGAAATGTTTTTTGTCTTTAAATTTTTAGTTTTTTAAAAACTGTAAACACTGCATTTCCTAAAAATATTTAAATATTTTATTTTTAGTTAAAAACAAGTAAAACATTTGATATTTTATTTATTCATTTGATTTTGTTTGTTTTTCAGACAAAGTACACTAAAAGTGTCATTGTTATGTTGGAAAATTAAAATGTAAAACCCATGTTTGATTATTAAAGTTGACAAACTCAGATTGTTAAAAAATAACCACTTATTAGTTTACACAATTACCTCTTACAAAGAAATAATATACAAAATAATTGGAGTATTGTTTTTTACAAACCAATAGAAACCTTTAATATAAATGACTCAAAACCAACCAAATTAATATAAATGCCTCAAAGACTTTAATACATTTCTTTACACTTGGTAAGGAACAAGTGAAAAAATTAAGATTGAAGGAAGAAAAAAAACTAGACTTTACAATTACTAATGTTTTGGATGGAAAAGATGTTTTTGTTCAATATAAAAAACTTAAGAATGATAATTAATTCTGTTTTAAATACAATTAAAAGTTCTTTTATTCTAAAAAAAAACAAATATATTTAGAATATTCACATATTTAATGAACTATTTTTAATATATGTATGAGATCGTCGACAGTATGAGATTATATATAAAACTTGTAAACAATTTATAGATATATTTTATCAGTTACCAATAAGATATTTAAAAACATAATTAGTATTTAAAAATAAAACTTATTTTATAGGAATTTAACATGATTAAGAAACAATAAGAAACAAAAAGTTTTAATTCTATTCATGAAAAAATAGTCTTAAATAAAAGCACTTTTCCTTTTGTTTTTAAATTGAAAAAAAATTTATTTGTATATCTGTTTTTGTTTTTAAATCAAAAAATGAAATAATTTCACAGATGCAGTTAAAAAGTTTTTTACAATAATTTAATCTAAATCAACACTGCATAAACAAATCAAAAAATAATTTAAATATTCCAATGGATAAAAGTTTTTGCCTAATGTAAATTGCTGAAGATGTAGATGAAATCACCAATGGGGGAGTATTTTCATGAATGGTACTGCCCAAACTATCGCTGGGTACAACACCGTAATATATTGAACGGTTGCATTAAATTATTTCAAAGTCCGAGTTAAGTCTTGAAAAACTCCTGTTATATGGGAAATTTAAGTTTCCACAAACTTATTTATAAAAGCTGATTAAAAAAAAAAAAAAAAATGAAAAAAATTTGACATTTTTAAATGTGCATATAATATAATAAAATTTAATATTATAATTGTATCATAATTAATTGATAATCTAAAGTTTTAAGAAAATGACATAAAAAAACTTACTTGGTAGTCTCTGAGACCAAGTAATATAATATCACCAGCATTAATCCAAACTTTTTTTCTGAGCTTTCCTCTAATATGACATAAACGTTTGGTTCCATCAAAGCATAGCGCGTCAAGCCTACCATTTCCAAGCATTTTTATGACTTGAGCATACTCTTGTCCTTCTTCTTTAAAAACCAACTCACGCTTTTCTGTTTCATTTTCATTCTTACCTCTCCTTCTGTTTTTACCTCCTTTTCCTGTGTTTAATAAAAGATAAAAAATAAAATATAAGAAAAATAAAAATCACTCACATTTATAATATTATTTAAAATTAATTTTTAAAATTTTGTTAGACAAGATTAGTTTATTGATTAAAAACTCACAGACTTTGTTAACTTTAAAAATGTCTGTTTGGATAAAAGTTGGAAAAAACAAAAGAACCTCTAGAGTTTATAAAAATAGCAGATTCTGTTTTCCAGCAGGCAAGAAATAAAGATTTGGTCAAGTTCTTGTTTAATAAAGAAACTATTGAAGAGCATTTTGGAGAACCTTTCTGCAAGACTTTGACAGGAATACTGTTCATACCACAAAGTTTAAAAGAGACCAAGTATGAAAGTTAGAGCAAATAGAATGTGTTAAATATATTAGCATAATTTTTTGCGGTCACGACATGGTCAATAATGAGCTTTAGCCAGGGGCTATTCTAATCTGTTTTCGACAGCGTCTACCATATTTGGGCGCCTAGATTAAAATTTGAGAACCTTTTTTTTTTAAACGTTTTTTAATGGCAAATATTATTTTCGCAAAAAAACTGCCGATTTTCCGTTAAAGTTTGCCGGAAGAAGGGGGTACCGCCGCCCAAGTTTTTTCCTATAATAGGCCCTGTTAGCATTAAACAATAAATTTTTAAAAAAATTTTTGAAAAAGTCATTTGTTGGTTAGTAGATTTGATAAAAAATAAAAAGAAAGGAAATAATGATTATTAATAGCAATTACAAAAGAAAAAATTATTGAGTGAGACTTGACTTGAAGCCAACAAAAAGGAAAAAAGCTTCCATGCCTGTCTAAATACAAGAGATAATAAAAGTGAGCTGGGTTGTCTGGAGTCATTAAGTTACCTATCAGCGTAAGAGACAGAAAAAATAAAAGCTTTGAACCTTAGTTCAAAAGTAAAGTTACTGGAACTAAAGCTACTTTTTGGTATGACAAAAAATTAACAAAACTGCATTTAAATAAAATGCTAATATTGTACCTGGACGGTGCAGTATTATCAATTCGTTGCTTCAAATTGGAGTAAACAGTTTAAAAAAGTTTTGCCATAAAGAAAAAAATAATAATAATAAAAGAATTATGAATGCAACTTTTTTTTGTAGATGTATAAAGAAATGGTTAATTAAAAAGCAAGCAAATGTAAACAATCTTAAAAGTTGCAAACACCCTGCATGTAAAATTTTGATTTTTTATTTATAACAAGAAAATTAAACACGGTTCTTAAATACAAGATCTTATGATAGTTTATGTTCTTTTATTTCTTATTATTTAATCTAATTTATTATATCTTGTAAACTTTATATTTTACAACAAAAATGTGGTTTTAAAATAAAATAAAGAATAAATAACAATAATAATAAAAAAATGGCACATTATTGGTTCTATTAGCTTAAAGCTATCTTATCTAATGAAAATGAGTAGAGAATTGTTATCATTGCTTATGATGTTGACATCATGTTTCAACTTAGTAGAGTTTCTAAAGCTTTTGAATTGGGTGAACATTATGATTACTCCTTTTATAATTCATATAAATGAGTATTTAACCCAGCATCCTAAAAAAACCTTTCTAATATTTATGCAGATTACACAAAGGCATGTCAACTAGTTCTTTTGATGAGTTACATGATAATCAGTTACAAAGTAATTTTAACTGAGTGTATGTATGGGCACTTTATTAATAAAACCAATTAATCAATCAAAACAAGTGTTGAGTTATACACTACGGCTATAAAAATAAGGAAATTTATTATAAACTTAACAAAGCAAATGCAAACAATCCTAAAAGTTGTGAACAGAAGTATACTTTTTCTTAATAACATTTACATTTTTAATTCAACTGATTAAAAAGATGAGTATATCTTTAACTTAAAAAAGAATAATAGAAACTATTTTTTTTTGTTTTTGTTAACAGTCTATATAAAGAATAAAAAACTCATTACTTAAAACTTCTTTTCATATACAAATGATTAATTTATAACTTTAATCAATTATATAGATTTTCGGCAAGGTGATATAATTTTAAAGGCCATTGACACCCCCTAAAACATAATCTAAATAAAAACTTATATATTTATTTCATATTATAGGTAAAAATGTTAAATAATGTCTTGCACCTGTTTCAATAGTTTAACAATTGTGACCTACCGTAATAATAAGCTAAATATAAAAAGATTCAATCAAAATAAGATAAAAGCGGGAAAGCATGCACCTTTTAAAATTTGGCCATAAATGATTTATGAAGAATCAGAGGATAATTATTTTCAGCACTAGAATTTAGAGTTAAACAGAAAAATTAATTTCACAAAAAGCAAGATCTCCCACAAAGTACAAGTAGATCAGTTGAACAACACATCTTGAGTAATTTTGGTCACTCATTTTATCATTAAATCGAAACAGCCTAAAACGAACATAGTAGAGTAGTCTAACATAGTAGAGCTATTTTTAAATGAAAAATACTACAAATCCTATTTTAAATATTTGGGATGGATATTGCCACAAAATTGTTTATATAAAATTATGGTTCCTAAGTAGACCATATACTGAAAATTAATATAAATCAAATAATTGTATCAGAAACATTAATTCTAAATAAAAACGTTTTCGTTTTCCGAAATAGGAACACACTGAAACATATCCTAAGAATTGTCTATAAATAATTGCTGATTTCTTGTAAAAATGTATCTGTTTATTTTACATTGCCAATTAATATATAAAAACTTCATACCATATTACCTAAACTATAATACTTAAAAAAAAAATCTTCAAAATAGACTTACCCTTATTTTTAGGCATGCTTAGCAAGTAATAGATATAATTATAAAATATTGTCAGTAACTTTGTTTGTTATACAAAACCAGATAGAATTGGTTTTTCGCTTAAGTCACGACGTCGTTTAAACACAAATGTCTCGATATTTCCAATATATTTTTTAACGGATAATAATCGAGTAACATATGGGATTGAGAAATTTTATATAAATAAGCGAGAGAAAACGCTTATCAAAAAAAAAAATGTTTAAGAAATGTATAACAAGTTAGCAATGCAAGAGAAAAATGTAACTTACACGTATCTTAAACTCTAACTGTAACTTATAAAACCATAATGAAATATATGTATATATATATATTTTCATTAATTTTCATAGAAATTTTCTTAGACACGAGCTAATGAGGGCAGTGGCGGACTAAGACTTTTTAGAGCCCAGGGCTATTTTTGTTTTTGAAGGCTTTTTTATGGCCAGAGCCTAAAAAAGGTCCTCTAAAATTTTGGGGGGCCCTTAAATTTGCGGGGCCCGGGGCTATAGTCCCCCTAGCCCCTCTCCCTTGATCTGGCACTGTATTTGGGGCCCAAGCCAAATTTTTAAAATTTAATCACATTTTTTCTATTATTGTATAACTAAGAATTACAAATTCTATATTGTAGCTATATTAATTACAAATTCTTAGCTATACAATATGTAGCATAATTGTTTCCATTAAATTAAATCAAAATTGTATTTAAAAGTAAGGCTTTTGTTTTCATGTATAGTTTTTTTTTTTGTTTTGAGAGGGTGGGGGGAGAAGTAATTTAGGGGCCCGAATTAAAATTTTGCGGAAAGGCCTATTTTTTGTCGTTACGTTACTTACTTCAAGACATAAAATAATTATATTTTCGCTCTCTCGCTCTACAGTGGTTTGAAATAATCAAAAAGTGGCATTCATTCCAGATTTGCAAAAATCCGATATAAAAAGTTCTGATTATGCAAGGTTGTTGCCAATTGATCATATTTTCGTATTCTGAAAGGATTTTTTCTTTTAGACCTTTTGGCGCTACCCCACAGATGCTCAAAGTTGTCTTTTTTTAAAGAACAATTTTTTAGTGAAAAAGCAATAATTTCCAACTTTTATTTTATTTCTTAAACCACACCTGTGAACTTCCATATATTATATATAATTCGGAAGAATATTAAACAGGCTTTCAGAGTTTAATGTAAAATGATTTATAAAATTAAATGTCATGTTTTCAGGGTCAACGACACAGGTTTCAAAGTGGAGGAGGGGGGGGGGGAAGGGGTTTGGTGCAACTGTCAATTTACAAAATAAGTCCTTTATATCTAGAAATTTCTTAAAAAAAAAAAAGTCCTTCAGAAAAAAAGTTGGAGGACCATCGCCCCCTTTCTCCCCTCCTCCGCGGAGTCATCGGCTCTGAATAATAAAGTACAAACCGTCTTATACAAAATTAAAGAATAAAGATTTTTTTTTTTTGACTGATGATATTATTAAAATCTTGGAATTTTTAAAGACTTTGGAGAAGAAGAATGTTACGAAAATTAAATTTGCTCAAGAGTTAGAAAAAAAATTATTAACATTACAAACCACGTACAAACAAAAACATTACAAACCACGTACAAATAAAAACATTACAAACCACGTAAAAACAAAAACATTACAAACCACGTACAAACAAAAAGTTAAAGATGTTCAATACTACAGATATACATTTCATAAAAAGCCAATTTCCTGGATAGAAAATTATTTTAATTTTGAATTTAAAGAACCTATCAGGAAACTCTTAAACTTACAATCAGAAACGCTAGATTTAAAGAAAGGGCGACATCGCCTTTTAAAGACAAAGAAAAACGAGCTAAAAGAATAGCAATTTTAAATCTATCTGAATAAGTTAAATATGATACAAAGTATATACTCAATACAGCAAGATACACAGCTAAACAAATAGGTAATAAAAACTTAAAAAAAAATTATCAAGTGCATTATTCAAAATCAACAATTCGTATATGGCATCAATAAAAGCATTGCAAACTTACAGCAAAAACTATTTTTAAAACATTGACCTGGAACACCACGATTAAAAAATACTTCTGGATTAACAAGACTACATATGGATATTATCTGAACAGATTAGAAAGAGAAAATCAAAATTAAATTCTCAACATCTCTAAAGAGAGTTGCATAATTATAAACAATACAACTTTTACTGATTGAAAATTCCGTAAGAAGTAAGGATGTTAATGATTAGATTTTACCTGAGCTAATTGATGTTTATTGACAATTAGATTGCGTTGGTATAGCAGCCGATAGCAATTTATTCGATTGCAAATAAATACTCAGCTATAACTATGAAATTTACTTTTAATTAAAATAGTTCGAAACTATTATTATTAAACAATATCAGTGCTTCTGTTTTGCATGTTTATTCTGCAAGTCTCCTCTCTTGGGGAAAACTTCTTTTGTATTTAAAATAAAAAAATCAATTTTCTTAATGTTTTTTTAATCTAATAATGTTATTTTTTGTATGTTAAATTGAAATTAATTGTTCTTAGGCGGGTCCTGGCGGCATCTAAACCTATATTGGATTAAAAGAAGAAGGGTCTATTTGTAGTTTATCCATTTATCGAAGTTTTTGTATTCATCCATTCATTCATCCATTTGTATTCAGATTCTTGCAGAATTTAATAAAATATTCAAGTATATCCTAGTCTAAAAAGTTTCTCTGAATTTTTACGGCATAAAATGTAATTTTATAAAACATTTTATATTAAACTCTGGTTTGTTTAATATTCTTCCTATTTATATATAATATATGGAAGTTCACAGATGTGGTTTAAGAAATAAAATAAAAGTTTGCTTTTTCACTAAAAAAACTGTTCTTTAAAAAATGACAACTGCGAAGGATGAAAAAAAAGGATGAAGGATGGAAAAAAGGCATTGCGCAATGTTTTATATTGATTCAACATTGTATTTTACGTTGGCACAACGTTGTTTTTTACGTTGGCAAAACGTTTTAAGTTGATTACGTTGGCAAAGCGTTTTAAGAGGAAGTTGATTAAACGTCATATTTTACGTTTACACAATTTTAAATTTACCTTTTATCTTAATTAAATTTATTTCTTTAATGGTAAGCATATACATATAAAAATAAAGTAGTTACATATATGTATTTTTACATACATATTTCCCCCATTTTGATGATGTACTAACATTGCTTACGACATATGTAAATAACTTGAATAAAGCATCAGATTAAAGAGGCGTTATATATGTTTATTTTGCTTGTGGCTTAATATTTCATCAAATACATTAGCAAAATATATTTCCATAATCAACTGAAATATTTGAATGAAAAATAATTCTCATAAATTATACAAATGTATAATTGTATATCTGCCTTTTCTTGATGCAAACGCAACGTTGATCCACTTTATAAAGTCCAACGTTGTTCCAATGTATATGGATCAACGTTGATTTAATGTATATACATTAAATCAACGTTGGTTTATACACATTAAATCAAAGACGGGTTACCCAGCTAGCACACTTAGGTTGGGCCAACGTATGTAAAACCATCGCGATCGTTGGCTATTTTCTCCAATGGATAACCAATGTTGATCCAATGTCATTTGGTTAATGATAAAATTGTTACCGACGGAACTAAAAACATATGGCAAATTCACATTGATCCAATGTATGTAAAAGCATCGCAAAAAGTTGATTGTTTTTACGATCTAAACTCAATGTTGATCCAATGTATATATTTCGACGTTGATTCAATCTATATAAATCAACGTTTTTTCAATGTATATAAAAACATCGCAAAAATTTTATTGTTTTTACTATCTAAACCCAACGTTGATCCAATGTATATATCTCGACATTGATTCAATGTATATAAATCAACGTTGATCCAATGTATGTAAATACATCGCAAAAGGTTGATTGTTTTTACGAACTAAACCCAACGTTGATCTAATGTATGCGACCAAATATTGCTATAGCGAAATTATATAACTTAAATAAAATCTTCCGTGATTATTAAAATATTAAACCACAATCAACACAAACATGATTTTTGTTCCAATGATCAAGCAATTACAACCTAGTTTATTCATATATGTTGGCTGAATAAGGTAATATATAAATTTATAATAATAATAATAATAATAATAAATTTTTGCTGTACACATACAATATGTGAGTCTAACATCTGTAGATGTTAAAACTTTGACAGCCGTTGCAAAAATTTTTATTCCTTTTTAAATGTTATATATATATATTTTTTGTTTTATTTGTTTTATATTTTTATTTTGTTTTTTTCGAAACGATCAAACTTGTTTTTGAAGATGTTCACATTTTTAGAATTAATTATCTCCTCTGTTAAATTATTCCAATTGTTAACTTTCCTGTTTGTAAGGAAGTTAAACCTTGTAGTAGAATGCGTGAATTGTTTTTGTATTTTCTGAGTATGACCTCTTATTATTGCATATTTAATTATTTTAGGAGGATGATTCCATTTAACTTTATCCATATTTTTACTTATTTTATAAAATTAAATCAAATCGCCTCTTTCTCTTCTTGTTTTTAAAGTAGTCAAGTTAAATTTTTTCAGTATATCTTCATAGCAAAAGCTTCTTAAACTATTTATTCGTGTAGCCCTACGTTGTATTTTTTCAATTTTATCAATATCCTTTTGGTAGTAAGGGTTCCATACCGGCACCGCAAACTCCAGGTGTGGACGAACCAATGACGTGTATAAATGTTTCATTGAAATTTCATCTAACCGACAAAAAGATTTCTTTATCTGACCGAGCTTTCTATTAGCCCTTGCCGCAATTGTGTTAATATGCTTTTCCCATTTCACGTCGTTTGATATTATTACACTAAGATCGCTCTCTAACGTGGTTTCTTCCATAACTAAAGCATTTTGCTGAATTATATCGAATGTGCTACACATTAAGTAATTATATTTTGAATTTCTTTTGCCAATATGCATAATTTTGCATTTTTCTTTATTGAAGTTGATTTGCCATTTTTCACTCCGTTCAACCAGCTTACATAAGTCTTGCTGTAACGTTCGACTGTCTTCGACTGAATTAATGACTGAAATAATTTTTGTGTCATCTGCTTATAATTTGCAATGATTAGTTATCTCACTTGTTAAATCATTTATATATATGACAAATAAAAGGGGTCCAATAACTGATCCTTGTGGTACTCCACTTATTACTTTTTTCCACTCAGAGTTTATCTCACTGAGAACCACTCTTTGTGTTCGTCTGCTTAGAAAATTTATGTATATATAAATATATATTTATATCTATATAAAAATATATTGTATATATATTTAAAGAAATAAAATTTAATGAAAATTTAATTCTGAATAATATTGTATACAACGTTTTGTAAATTAAAGTTCAGCGTTGAATCAACGTAAATACAATGTTGTGCTAACTTAAAGTGCAACGTTGGGCCAACGTATAAAATAAAACGTTGAATCAACGTAGATAATATAACCATTTTCCGACTTTAAATAAACGTTTTATCAACATTGGTTTTTAGTTGTTGGCGACGTCGCATTTGTAACCATAATGATATAAAAACAACAATGGCAGCCGATGTTGGGCCAACGTAACGCGCGACATTGTTCTAATGTTTTAACAGCGCATGCATGCTAGCTGGGTAATAACATTAAATCATTGTTCGGTTTAGATTGTAAAAAAAATCAAACTTTTGCGATGTTTTTACATACATTGGATTAACGTTGATTTATATATATTGAGTCAACGTTGGGTTATATAAATTGGATCAACGTAGGGTTTAGATCGTAAAGACAATCAACTTTTTGCGATGTTTTTACATACATTAATTCAACGTTGGTTTATACACATTAAATCTATGTCGGGTTAATAACATTGGATCAACGTTGGGTTAACATTGTAAAAACAATTAATTTTTTGCAATGTTTTTATATACGTTGGACCGATGTAAATGTGCCAGCTGTTTTTAATACCGTCGGTATTAATTTCATCATTAAACAAATGACATTGGATCAACGTTGGTTTTGCATTAGAAAAAACAGCTGGTGTTCGCGATGGAATTACATGTTGGCCCAACGTAAATGTGCTAACTGGGCCCAGCTAGCACACATACCTTGTTAAAACATTAGAATAATGTCGCGCGTTTTGTTGGCCCAACGTCGGCTGCCAACGTTGTTTTTATATCATTATGGTTACAAATGCGTCATTGCCAACAACTAAAAACCAATGTTCATAAAAGGTATATAAGTCGGAAAATGGTCATATTTCCCACGTTGATTCAACGTTTTATTTTATACGTTGACCCAACGTTGTATTTTAAAGTTGGCACAACGTTGTATTTACGTTGCTTCAACGTTGAACTTTAATTGGCAAAACGTTGTATTCAATACTATTCGGAATTAAATTATCATTAAATTTTATTTTATATATATATATATATATATATATATATATATATATATATATATATATATATATATATATATATATATATCTATATATATATCTATATATCTATATATATATCTATATATCTATATATCTATATATCTATATATCTATATATATATATATATATATATATATATATATATATATATATATATATATATATATATATATATATATATATATATATATATATATATATATATATATATATATATATATATATATATATATATATATATATATATATATATATATATATATATATATATATATATATATATACATATACATATATAGTAATATATACATATATATATAGATATATATATATTATTGCTAAATACTGCCAGGCCAATTTTAAAGTATCGGTAAAAAAAAAAAAAACAAATCTTGTTCATAAGTTATGTACAATTATTTAAAATCATAAATATATTTCATAAAACAAAGTATGGTACTTAAAATAACAAATTAATTTGCGAATCTAAAACTTGAAGAATTGTGTAACATATATATATATATATATATATATATATATATATATATATATATATATATATATATATATATATATATATATATATATATATATATATATATATATATATATATATGAAATGTTAAACATTAAAATCATAAAATTTAAAAACAGCTGATTTAATAATTTTCGACAGAAGTCCCAAACAAAACTTCTTCTTCAGTTAAAGAACTAAAGTCATCAAGCTTGCCATAGGTGTGCTCACTTTCATCTGATAAATTGCATTCTTCAGAATCTTTGCAATCGTCAAAAGACCTAAAATATTAAAGCAATATAAAAAATTTAAAATAAGTAATATAAAAAATTTACCCTATTTGTAGCGTCATATGGTGTTTATAACAAACCATTTAAATTGTTAGTTATGTTACACCTCATGTTATTTTACATGGCTCTACAAAAATAATCTTCATGTTAGCCTCATAATAAATTTACTATTAGATAGAAGTATACTTAACGCCTTAAGTAAGCTTAGCCATAATAAAAAAAGCACAAGTTAGCTACTAATCTAAAAAAGTAAAACGATTTTATTTTTCCAATAGTAACTTACTGTGCTGCAACATTACAAAACTTCTGAGTTTCAAATTCTTCAACTAAATGTGGTGGGTCCCAATAGTGCAATTTTCGTCTCCATATTCTCATTACACCCTGCCACGAGCGTGTGCTGCAAACAGAATATTTATCAGGCGTCCATGGGTGAACAGGTGTTCTGTCGCTTCTGCAAAATAGCATAACTATTAACTATCCAATTATATATTATAACTAATCATGAATAAGATTAGGTTATAACTAAACCTGTTTTAAATTATAACTTAGATTGAATTACACTATAACCATTATCGGATTATATTACAACTAATCAGTACAGTGACTAGTGGGTCCGACGCTCCCCAAAAACCTGTCATTAGGTTTCCAAAATCTTAAAAGTATTTCCACACGGTGTTATTAAAAAAAAATGTTCCTTAAATTTTGAAAAGGACCACTAAATTTGCAAATGTTCCCACCCCTCATTTAGGTGTGTGGGGTAGCCTAGCCACGGCTCTGTAACTAATAATAGATTAAATACGATAATTACCATTCCGTTTTTGCTTAATCAGTAAACAAAAAACTTTGAACAATAAACAACATAAAAAAAGGCAAACAACATAAAACAACATAAAATCAGTAAATACATAATTAAGTAAGTCAGTAAATACATAATAAAGGCAAACAACATAAAATTAGTTAATAAATATTAAAAAGTTGAACAATTGAAGAAAATAACAATATTTAAATTTGCACAAAACAGAGCAGCTATAGCTTGCAGAGATTCAGTTAAGTGACGTCACCAAAAGTAATGTGTTGTTTTAACTATACCAGATGATGGTTCATATTCTATTTTAATTTCAAAGAATATTGTTCTAATTTTCTTTAAAACAAGAAATATCATTATAGGTCATTATGTTTAAGTTGTAAAAAAATCTTTCCTACAAAATGAAAGTCAATAAAAAATATATTTAAAAATACAATTATAAAGCTGTTTAACGCTTTCAAAAAATTCAAACAAACTTTTGTGACTCTTTTTAATGAGATTCCATCAAACAAGAATTGGCATGGCATATTGCAAGTTTCATTTTGTTTTTATACCAAATTCATTTTGATGCATGCACAAGTCTTAAAGTTTTTTTTATAATGGCTATAACAACCATTTTATGCTTCATGAATCATACCAACATCATGCTTCTTGACATCAGCAAAATTCAAACTTGTAAAGCAGTAAACTGTTAATACCGTAATATACTACAACTGTTTGTGATTTGTATTGAGAGTTACTTCAGCAAAAACAATGGACCTTGCACAGACTACAAAGCTGTAATTGTTAGTCCATGTCACCCAGTAAAATAGTAGTTTTTTTGTCAATCTTTGAATTTAACTTTTAATTTCAAATAATAAGAAGTTAAATTTTACAACAAACTACATACAGTTTCAACAAAAAGCATTAGTTTGAACAGTCATACTATTAAACTGAAAAGTAATATATGTAAATTGTTTTTAAATGATGTTAGACATGATTTAAGATTCTAGACAAAAAAGTTAATCCGTTTTAAACTCTTAATCAAAAATGTATTAAAAAAAGGTTTACTACAAAAAGTTTAAAGGACATGTATACTTACAACAGTAGACCCAAAAGTTAATGTTACTTACAACAGTAGACCCAAAAGTTAATGTTACTTACAACAGTAAACCCAAAAGTTAATGTTACTTACAACAGTAGACCCAAAAGTTAATGTTACTTACAACAGTAGACCCAAAAGTTAATGTTACTTACAACAGTAAACCCAAAAGTTAATGTTACTTACAACAGTAGACCCAAAAGTTAATGTTTTGGAAATAGAATCATAAGAATATTGGCTTTTTTAATACAAGATTGTTAAACAATGAACTGTTGAAGACAACTGAATAATCAAGATGAATAATAGTCAATTTGTAATGTAATAGTTTCATTGCATTTTGAAATTTTGGATTAATAAGTTGATAAGGAATGTAAATAATGGTCATAAAAGGACATGTTTTCTTATAAAAACACTAGTACATGCCAAAAAATCAAGGTTTAATAAAATACATCACGAAAACATTTTGAATTTTCATTATTGACCTCAGAAAAAAAAATGCTTTTTTTCAATAAAAAAATAACAGCAATCACTTATACTTATAATAAAAGAAACTAAATTAATTAAAACTTACTAGTAATATATAATACCAGGTAGAGAAGCAAAGGCTATGTGAATTTATAGCCTCACTTAACTCACCTGTTGATATCAGGTAGAGAAGCAATGAATACGCGAATGATATCTGGAAGAGAAGCAAAAGCTATGCGAATTCCTGGTCTCAACCAATTAGCAGCAAAAATAACCACCTCTTGTTTCAAAACAGCAAGCAGCTTTTATGCTTGCAGGTTATGATCAGCTGGGCAAAATAGAAGTATTTAGAGGAGTTATGTGGCATCAAGTCATTAAACACATGAAACAGACAAACTGAAAAAATTAGAATAAGGTAGAATAAAAGAACTTACTAGAATAAGTAATAACTTTTTTTGTTTTGGGATTTTGTTTTTCATGTCAATAGTCTGAATTGTTGCAACACAATTGGTTGTGCTTTTTTAAATCTAGATTATGCATTATTAGGTCCAGGTCTAACACCCTGTGATGCTGTGTTGCAAACACCCTGTGATGCTGTGTTGCAGAGATGCATTAAGCACCTCAAAACATTGTGAAAATGTAGGAAGCTGAATAGTAACAGTAACTGTAGTAACTGTAGTAAATGTAGGAAGCTGAATAGTAACTACTGTAGATTGTAGACTGAACAGGTCTATAGAGTTATCCTACTTTTTTTTAATATTTTACTCTACAATATCCAACAAATAAATGCTTCGTATAACACTAAAACTAATTATTAGATTTTGTATTAGTAATACTAAATAACATGCTGCTTCATATAGAACTAAAAAAACAAAATGTTGTCTAGTTACCAATATTCACTTTTCATTTATTCAAGTCTCAGGTCGGTACCATTTGCACCATCATGTAAAATAATTGTTTAATTATTTCATTTAATTTCATTGATAATTGTTGCCCTGCTTCATTGCATCCATTTTTAAAATGGACCTGATACTCTTTGTTATCTACTGGAATAAAAGATTTTTTAATTGTATTCTAAAGAGAATCAATTATCATTCTTACAAGTTCTTTGTATTGAACAGAAACATCTTTTCTATTCAAAACACGAGTAATTGTATTTTTTTTCTTAAAGTAAATTTTTGGTTGTTAAAAAATAGATACTATTTGAAGCATAAAGAAATCTTAACTTTCTCATTTTTTCCATTAAAATTTTTCATTTATATCAAAGGTTTCTTTTAATTTTAAATGATTTGTAAAAAGTGCAAAGCAACACTCCTAATATTTTGTATATTATTTCTTTGTAATAGATAACCTGGTTAACATTTAACAATCAGAGTTTGACTTAATGGCTTTGTCAACTTTAATATAATGTGTGAAAAAATGAACATCAGTTTTGCATTTTAATTGTATGCTTTTGCTCAAACACAAACAAAATTAAATAAATAAATAAAAAACAGAATATTTTACTTATTTTTAACCAACAATCAAATATTAAAATACTTTCAAAAAAAAAAAAACCCCATTCTAACTTTTTGAAATCATGTAAGTAAAAAAAGAACTATTTTTACTCTATTGTCCTAAAAATACATTAAAAAAAAAAAAAGAAATGTTATACATTTTTGAAACTCACACAAAATTTTTGAATTTAAAAAATAAGCATAGTTTGTGATTAATCTGTTGTTTTAGACCACAGTACATGAATGTACTGTGGTCCATTCACATTACAATGACATAGTAGTATAATTGTACTGTGTATACCACAGTACAATGTAATGTGTATACCACAGTAAAATGACAAATATAGCCACAAATGTAAAAGTCACCAGGTATCAAGTGACTAATGATGTCAACTCTCTTTGTGAAACAACAGATTAATCACAAACTATGCCTAAATTTTAAATAAGCACAGTTTCTCTACCTCGAGAAAATATCTATTTTAGATCTATTTTAACATTGATTGGTTAAATATACAATTTAGATCATAATATTTTATTGGTTTTTAGTAAACACGTTTTTTAGGTGATTAGTTAAAAATGATCTGATTGACTGTATTATTATTTGTCAGAATGTTAAACTTAACAATATATTTAAAATCATCAGTTTGTCTACATTTGTTATCAAGAACAAATGTTAGTATATTAATATTCAATTTTCACATAAAAAATACTAATAAACCCTTGGTATATAACATCAAACTGTTTTTAAATAGTTTAAAAATAATATTGAGTTAAATTTCTCTGTTTTATATTCTTCTAACTTTTATTTTCTGTACTTTTTGATTACTTTAAAAAAGTTTTTATGATTACTTTATAATGCACACATAAATTTTTCAAAGATTAAACAAAACATTAAAAATGATTATAAACACCTTTAATAAAAAAAAAAGATAAAAAACTAATACCTTGGTACTTCAGCTATGTATTTTCTGTAGCCTTCTGTATTTTTTCCAATTGCAATTTGTTTTTCTCGATTCTTTATTCTTTGTTCATCAGTTTCAATAAGTTTAGAATCTTTTTTACTAGTTGAACTTTTAGAAGTTGCGTCAGCAGTTTTGATAAAATATCTATTACTATTATTATTGGTTTTAAGATCACCCATATCACCTCTTCTATAAATAAAAACATATAAAAATTCTAAATTAACCTCAAAATAATATACTTTACCTTCTGAACAATAACAAAACAAATTGCAAAACGTGCCCAACAAACTTGTTTTATAGATATTTAGGTCTTATTGAGATTCAAACTAATTCAATTTTTTTTTTTTAAATTAAAATAACTCAAAGTCTTTTCTCATCAGAAAACACCATCATGGAATTTATCATTCTTGTTACTGCCCTTACTATATATCAACTCGTTCCTCTGCGCAGCGGCCTTGTTCGTTAAGGTTCGTGTTTCGGAGTTATAGAGTTGAGAGAGGGTTACAACCACAAATAAGTAGCCTCCTTGTCTATAGTGACCTTCTAGGCCTTGAGGAGGTGAATTAACAAAAAATATATATATATATATATATATATATATAAATTAGACGATGTTTTAAAGTATTTTGCAGTTTATGCACAAAACTAACGATTTTGTTATGTATACTATTTTAGTTACGCTAAAAACTTTTTTATTTTTCAATAAGTTTAAAGATTTCCTAACTGTGGTTTAATAAATAAAGTGAAAAACTTTGTTTTTCTTTGTAGTTTTATTATCTGTTACAGGTATGAATATCAAAAAAAAAAAGATGAGAAACAATACAAGACTAAGAATGGAACCTTGTTGCGCCCCAGAAGCTAATGGAAACCTTGTTGCACCCCAGAAGCCATGGAAACGAAGATTAAGGATGACTTTAATACTGCAAAGGAACAATTTAAAAATTTTAAAAACTTTCCCAGATATACTATATACAGAGGATTAATATGGCAAACATTACCAAAAGACTTGAATACTTCAAGAGCAATAACCCTTGCTTCATTATTTCCACCAATGTTTTAAAAATCACACTTGTTACAAATATTAGATTTTTCACACTTGTTACTAAACTTAAATTTTAAATAACTTTTAGAACACTTTAAATAATTTTGTTAATTTGATTAAATAATTGATTTTATCAAGCTCATCAAGTCTTAAACAACCTCCTAGTGCTGTTTGAAAGTTTGAAAAAAACCTTGCCAAGGATTTTAATCTTCAATTGTACATGCATTAAAGGCACATCTTAATGATATATATATATATATATATATATATATATATATATATATATATATATATATATATATATATATATGCAGTTTTTAAATAAAGTACATAGCTGGAGTTTTTAAGTTAATATGAGTTAATATTTACAACTTAATAAAAAAAAAAAAAACTTAATAAGGATTTATACATATATCATTTTCTACTTGAAATTATAGAAATGAACTTTTTTTGAACCAAAATAAGTGTAATTATAACTAATTATTGTATTAGTTATAAATAAATAAAAAATTATATATAAAAAGTATTATTAATAAAAAGTTATATATATATAAAAACATTGTTTCTATATAGTCAAGTTTATTATCTATCCAGTTGTATGAAGATTTTTTTCACAATTTATTTTTTGTTTATTTTCTATACTCAACTAAAGATAAACTAGCAACTAAAAAAAAAAACAATAAATACCTTGATACTTCAGCTATGTATTTTCTGTATACTTCTGTATTGTTTGTGTTTTGCTTCTCAAGGTTTTTTACTTTTTTTTCATCTTTTTCTATTGATTCATTTTTACCAGCATTCTTAGAAGTTGTGTCAGTTTTTACATCATTTTTACCAGCATTCTTAGAAGTTGTGTCAGTTTTTACATCATTTTTACCAGCATTCTTAGAAGTTGTGTCAGTTTTTACATCATTTTTACCAGCATTCTTAGAAGTTGTGTCAGTTTTTACATCATTTTTACCAGCATTCTTAGAATTTGTATCAGCAGTTTTTTTTAAATTTTCATTTCCAATATTATTTGATTTAACATCAACCCTTATTTAAATAAAATATTGATTAACTTTAAAAAAAGAACTCCAGATATCTTAATTAAAATAAACAATTTTTTATATATTTCCAACAAAAGAGTTAAAAATGCCAACCACAAGGACACGTCAAAGGAAACCACAGACTTGTTTCATATAAAAGAAACATCTGTAAAAAATTAACCAAATTTAAAAAAAAATTAGATTGAAAAAAAAGCATTAAAAAACATTTTATTTTCATCTTTTATTCAGATTATTTCACTGTCAAAACACTTACAAGTCAGTACTTACAAAAAAACAGAAGCATATTTACAATTAAAAACACTTACAAGTCAGTAATTACAAAAAAACAGAAGCATGTTTACTATTAAAAACATAGTCTAGTAATACAAATCTTTTTAAAATTGTTCTTTTTACTGAACTTAGTACTATTTATATATTCTTCATTTGTTTTACACTTTTTTGATATAAATACAAACTAAAATCTTATAAAATTTATATAGGAAAGATGCATTTCTATTTATATAAAACTATAAACCTTTAAAAAACACTTTGGAATTCTTCTTTTCTTATTATACTTTTGTCTGAGTATTAATTCTTCCAGTCAACATTTTTTTAAAACTGTAATTTGACTATGTAAATGGGGTTTAGTGATAACTGTCTGACCATTTGTGTCTAAATATGGCCTAAAGTGACTATGTCTGACCATTTATTATATTTGCACTTTATCTATCTTATTGTAAATACCATTATATGGCATAAAGAAATAAATAATTTCTTGATATTAAGTTAGAAAGAGTGTAACAACTGTTGTTGTAAACAATTAAATGAAGATGAGGTAACTAAAATGAAGATGAAGTTTTTAATATAAATAAACATTTGAGAATAGTGTTTTTCAAAAGTTTGAAAATAGATTTATCTGAGGGAGGAAACCTATATACAGTGTGTTAAAAATTGAAAAACTCCAAGAAACCTACCTATCCATTAAATATAAATCACTTAGACTTTGATTTACAGGTAATACTTTTTACCTTGACTAATTTTAATAAAATCTTTAAACGTTTTTATTAAAATCTTTCATTAGATAAAAAAAAAAGCCATATAAAAAGAGTATGTTATTGCAAGCATATTAACTCTTAGATTTACCTTTGTCGCTTAACTTCTTTGTTGCTTTGTTGATATGATCTTTTATTATTAAGTAGATCATCATTTAAACTACTTTTTTCATTGTCTTGTATTTTGGGATCTTTATTTTTTTCAACTGGAACAAAACTTTGCACAAAAAAAAAGTGTTTAAAACAAATAAGAAAAAAAATAATTAAATTCTGATTACATAAATAAAATATGAAACAGAGAAAAAATCCATACATAGTATAATCTGGGTGATGCTTTATTGAGTATGAAATATCTTTAGGAGAAGTTTTTGGATTATCACATTTTTGTTTCTTTTTATTCAACTGGGGGTTATTAAAATCACTAAAAATTCAATTATTTAGTATAAATATATAGTTAAATAAATATAATTATTACAAAAATTCATTATACATGATTTTGTAAATTATTAATCATGAGTTTTTTTAACAATCTTAAATAATTATGGTGATTGATTAAAATGTGGTAGTAGATTAATAAAGAAACAATTATCACATAATCAAGAGGTTTGAGGTTTAAAACCACCCTCCTCCATCCACCCTAATCCCTTGCAAGTAGACTGCATTTAACTTGTTTTTCGTAACAGCAATCTTGTTTAAAAAGTTTGTATTTCGGAATTTAGGGTAGAGAGAGAGAGAGAGCTATACATTTTTACTGATATCTTCAAATTGGTCAAGCTAATAAAAAAGTCTAATATTAAAAAGCTTATATAAAAAAAGTTTAAACTCAACAAAAAAATTAAAGCAAAATGAAACTAAAAATTAAAACTATAACAGAAAAATTCAAAATAATAAGTCTTCTAACCTCCATAAGTCAGACATTTTCAAAAAGTCTGACATATGAAGAGCTTTGCTTAATTCATTAAGTATGACAAAATATAAATCTCTTCAGAGTCCGAGTTAACAGGATTCTACTTTTTATTATTATTTGTTATATACAAACAGTTAACAAAACTATGGGAAGCGTGCTCACAAACAACAAAAGAAAAAATGTAATGTCACAAGTTTCATGCCTTCATGATCTGGTTTTTACTGATGTAACAAAAGCATTTTTAAAAATATATGTCAGTATATAAGTCATTTATATATTATATTTGTATAAGTATACAACATATATATATATATATATATATATATATATATATATATATATATATATATATATATATATATATATATATATATAT